GTTCTCTGTAAACTGACGTGTCGAGAAAGGCGATCTTGTTGTTGTTCTCGATCTCCATGGTGAAACGGATATGATGGTTGTTGACTGTTCAGGTGTTGCAGGAAGACGTCAACTCTATCCCGATCCAACCGTATCCCGATCCAGGATGGTGAAAGTATCATCTACGTAGCGTTTCCAGATCTTAGGCTTGAATTGGAAAGCGCTCGTTATCCTGCGAACAGGCTCCGGGCGAGGACGGAAAAAATTTCGGCAAGCGCGAAACAGAAGAATTCGGAAAGCAAAGCGATCGGGGCGGAACGTATAGGTATATGGTGTTGCACTTATAAAGCGAAAAAACAAAAGGCTTGGCTGTGAGCCAATGAGAAAGCACTGACGTCATAGCCAAACTGGACATCGGCTGGATTTGATTACTCAAAATGGCGGACATACCTTAATTTAAGACTATAATATTCTAATTTGCCAAACATTCTTTATATGCGCGCTTATTTTTTGTAACGGCTATGTAACTTATGCTATACATACACTTATAAAATATACGCGTTCTTGAGTTACATTAGCCAGATCAAGCTTTGATTGATGAGGTTCGTTTAAGGTTCTCTGTCATCTAATATCACACGTTGCAGCGAAAGGGTAGTTCAAATTCTTCGACAACGTCTACCGTCTACGAATGCCTACGAGTGAAAACAACTTCCGGTGCCCTGCCGCCTAAAGCATCACAATTTTGAATGTTATTTCACCAGATATCATTGTCTCCTCAACATTTAGATTTGAGGTCAATTAAGTAGCGAGATCCCCGAGAACTGGAATATATGGAAAGAGAAATAATGTAATAATTACTTGGTTTGGAGCGGGAAAGCCCCGAGTATCAACTCGCCATGTTCAAGGACGTTATTGATGACGATGGCCTTTCAGTGTTGAAAGCCTTAAGCTATACTGAAGAAGAAGATACAAACAATTGCCGTGTAGTAATGGGAAGATGAAAAGGTATTGCATCGGTAACGTAAACGAGATTGTTTCAGCAGGAGGGAAAAACTTCCTACCGAAACGCTCGACAACTTAATCGCTGAATTAAAAAGAACCTTGGCAAAGAGCTGCAGTTTATGTGATTTTTTACGTGTCACACGATACTCTCATCTGCTTTCGACTGGTCTTGGGATAACACATGAGCACTGAAGCACGAAGCAGCTCCTTAGAATGACAGACCCCACGTTAAACAAGTGTATCGACCTTCTAGCATCCGAGATGCAAATATAGGGATCTTAACAACGATGACGGCGACGCCGAGGATAACGCCTTGTAAAATTGAATTTGTCCAGGATGCCTATGGCTCTAAAACCTCGTTCAGGCTAAATATGTAATGACAGCGTTCAATTCTACATGGAAATACCAAAAATTAGCAGTTCGACTCATCGTTCGCGTTCGCGGTCATTTTGCGTTGTTTTGCAGAGGACGGCCATGAAATGCACAAAGGTTTACTGAACACACTTGTACAACCTTTGTTTTGCTCTTTAAACCTTTTGTTTGGTGGTGCTCATTGACGTCCTGGTTTGCTCCAGACTTCGTCCACACTACGCCGGAGGAATTTAAAAGCGCACACAGCTTTATCTCTACGGCCCAGGGTAATCCGTCACGAAAGCGGAGCTTTTCGAAAACGCTCTTTTCGAAAACGCCGGCTTTGAGTTTTCGTGTGGACGGGAAACATTTTAAAACGGACCTTTTCGAACACGATAGGATCAGGAGAACCACATGATTTCCCTGGCCGAGATATTGCCATCTGTTGCCTGTTGTTACAGGTCTCCGAGAGTAACAATTCTGGCACCTTTGGCAAAAATACCATTACGGACTATTTCATGCATGCCAGTTTTGCATGCCAGTTTTATTCCTGAGAGATACGAACCATCGATAAATAATCCCACCTCTCTCAATCAAACGCCCCGTACAATGCCGTCGCCACTGAAAGCTTTGGTTTTCCTGTTGCTGTTGTTGTTCCTGTCCACAATACGCCCGAAAAATTTGAAAACGCAACAATCATCGGCCATTTTGGATTTGTGGGTTGAGGAAAACTCAGGAACGGTAAGCCTAACCGTAGAAATAACGCTGCGTTTTCAAATTCATGCAGCGTAGTGTGGCCTTAGATCATTGAAAAGCACGTGTGAGTGGAAGGCGAGAGTCTTTAATGCACGTGCGGTTGCTTACTACTTGATTGGCAGCGAAGTTCAGAAAACCAACAAAAAGCTTTGTTTCAAGGTACGGATCACGCTGCACAGCTAGC